GCTTTTCCCTTAACCATATTACTCTGTTTTCTAATCAAGCTTGGTGGCCTTGTTGCAGGAAACCAACTCGCTACCTCTGGAGTTGCACGCATGCTCCCCTGGAGTCGAATCGAACTCAACTGGTGCTGCTGAAGTCGAAGAGGAGTCACGTGGTGCTGCTGAAGTCTAAACGAATGCGTCCTTGGGTTTCTGCCATCCACCCGCCATCATCCACCCCGCCTTTCACCGGATCTCCAACTCGAAATCCCAAGGTATGCTCGTTTGCACCAGAGTTAGTTCCTTGTCAGTTTTTGCTTCTGCTTTATCTCCTCTCTCGCTTCCGTGCTTGCTTTTTCCCTTAACCATGTACCTCTGATTTCTAATCAAGCTTGGTGGCCTTGTTGCAGGAAACCAACTCGCTACCTCTGGAGTTGCACGCATGCTCCCCTGGAGTCGAAACGAACTCAACTGGTGCTGCTGAAGTCGAAGAGGAGTCACGTGGTGCTGCTGAAGTCTAAACGAATGCGTCCTTGGGTTTCTGCCATCCACCCGCCATCATCCACCCCGCCTTTCACCGGATCTCCATCTCGAAATCCCAAGGTATGCTCGTTTGCAGGTTTGCTACTGCTTTATCTCCTCTCTCGCTTCCGTGCTTGCTTTTACCTTTAACCATATACCTCTGATTTCTAATCAAGCTTGGTGGCCTTGTTGCAGGAAACCAACTCGCTACCTCTGGAGTTGCACGCATGCTCCCCTGGAGTCGAATCGAACTCAACTGGTGCTGCTGAAGTCGAAGAGAAGTCACGTGTTGCTGCTGAAGTCTAATCAAATGCGTCCTTGGGTTTCTGCCATCCACCCGCCATCATCTACCCCGCCTTTCACCGGATCTCCAACTCGAAATCCCAAGGTATGCTCGTTTGCACCAGAGTTAGTTCCTTGTCAGTTTTTGCTACTGCTTTATCTCCTTTCTCGCTTCCGTGCTTGCTTTCTCCCTGCCTTGACCATATTTCTCTGATTTCTATTCAAGCTTGGTGGCCTTGTTGCAGGAAACCAACTCGCTACCTCTTGAGTTGCACGCATGCTCCCCTGGAGTCGAATCGAACTCAACTGGTGCTGCTGAAGTCGAAGAGGAGTCACGTGGTGCTGCTGAAGTCTAAACGAATGCGTTCTTGGGTTTTTGCCATCCACCCGCCATCATCCACCCCGCCTTTCACCGGATCTCCAACTCGAAATCTCAAGGTATGCTCGTTTGCACCAGAGTTAGTTCCTTGTCAGTTTTTGCTACTGCTTTATCTCCTTTCTCGCTTCCGTGCTTGCTTTTTCCCTTAACCATATAACTCTGATTTCTAATCAAGCTTGGTGGCCTTGTTGCAGGAAACCAACTCGCTACCTCTTGAGTTGCACGCATGCTCCCCTGGAGTGAATCGAACTCAACTGTTGCTGCTGAAGTCGAAGAGGAGTCACGTGGTGCTGCTGAAGTCTAAACGAATGCGTCCTTGGGTTTCTGCCATCCACCCGCCATCATCCACCCCGCCTTTCACCGGATCTCCAACTCGAAATCCCAAGGTATGCTTGTTTTCACCAGAGTTAGTTCCTTGTCCGTTTTTGCTACTGCTTTATCTCCTTTCTCGCTTCCGTGCTTGCTTTTTCCCTGCCTTTACCATATATCTCTGATTTCTAATCAAGCTTGGTGGCCTTGTTGCAGGAAACCAACTCGCTACCTCTGGAGTTGCACGCATGCTCCCCTGGAGTCGAATCGAACTCAACTGGTGCTGCTGAAGTCGAAGAGGAGTTGAAAGGAGTTACTGGAAGGAGTTGAAGGGAGCTGCTGCTGCTGCTGCTGGAAGGAGTTTAAGGGAGCTGCTGCTGCTGCTGCTGGAAGGAGTTTAAGGGAGCTGCTGCTGCTGCTGCTGGAAGGAGTTTATGGGAGCTGCTGCTGCTGCTGCTGGAAGGAGTTTAAGGGAGCTGCTGCTGCTGCTGCTGGAAGGAGTTTAAGGGAGCTGCTGCTGCTGCTGCTGGAAGGAGTTTATGGGAGCTCCTGCTGCTGCTGCTGGAAGGAGTTTAAGGGAGCTCCTGGAAGGAGTTTAAGGGAGCTCCTGGAAGGAGTTTAAGGGAGCTCCTGGAAGGCGCTCCTGAGAGGAGCTGCTGGGAGGCGCTGCAACTTAAGAAGCTGTCTCCTCGTAAGCAGTCTCCTTGCGTTGTCTCAAGCTTGCTTCAATTTTTGTTTTCCCAGCCATTTCTGTTCCACTATACTGACCTGGTGTTTTCGTCTTGTGCAGGGAGCTGCTGGGAGGAGTTGGCATGGCATGGCGTGGGATGACATGGCATGGATGACATGGCATGGAATGGCGTGGCATGGCATGGCTTGGCTTGGCATGGCATGGGATGGGATGGCATGGCATGGAATGGAATGGAATGGCATGCAATGGAATGGCATGGTATGGCATGGAATGGAATGGCATGGAATGGAATGGCATGGCATGGTATGGTATGGAATGGGATGGTATGGAATGGGATGGTATGGCATGGTATGGCATAGTATGACATGGAATGGAATGGCATGGCATGGCATGAAATGGAATGGCATGGTATGGCATGGAATGGAATGGCATGGAATGACATGGCATGGAATGGAATGGCATGGTATGGAATGGCATGGTATGGCATGGAATGGCAAGGAATGGAATGGCATGGAATGGCATTGCATGGAATGGCATTGCATGGAATGGAATGGCATGGTGTGGAATGGCATGGTGTGGAATGGCATGGAATGGCATGGTATGGCATGGTGTGGAATGGAGGAGCTGCTTGGAGGAGCTGCTGTGAGGAGCTGCTGGGAGGAGCTGCACAGCGCTGCGACTCTCAAGCTGCAACCTACAAAGTAAGTTGTCTCATTGCAAGCTGTTCCCTTGCAATCTGTTTTTTTTGCAAGCTGTCTCAAACTTTCGTTTTCCTGCCATGTCCTTTTCAGTATACTGACTTGTTGTGTTGGTCCTGTGCAGGGAACAACGATTCCGCCGCGCAAGGGGGCTGCCTGGGTGCCTCGACGAGGAGGGGGCTGAGCTGTGGCTGAGACGTGGCCGAGGCTTGATGGGGCCTTGGAGTGGCAAGCATGGGACAGCATGCGAGGGTGCTTTCCCACACTGGGGAGGGTGTGGGGGGCAGATGACCGAGCCTGCTTCAGTGGTGATGTGATGCGCAACCGGGCCGGGACGCTTTTGGAGCCCTGACGGTGTGCAGTCGGCCGGCCGGCTTCTGCACATTGGAGGGAGGTTCAGGCCTCCGAAAGCGTTCTGGGCACCCGGATGGCCAGGTAGCATCACTGCTGGAGTGGGTGACGTTTTCTTCAAGTCAGCATCACACCCGGGCGGGTGTGAGGCGCTTGTGCTCTCATGAGGCCTGGTCACACTGGGGAGGGTGTGAGGCTCTCAGCCGCTTAAGAGAGAGAGAGAGTAGTCCACACCGGCGTGGGTGTGGAGAAATCTCCTCTTTCCACTTACGAGTTTTCCACACTATGGGGAGCTCTGTCTCGGTCACTTAAAGGCCTTCTCACACCGGGGTGGGTGTGGGGGGTTCTCGGTCTCCTAGGCTAGTCCACACCCAGGTGGGTGTGGCTAGACCTCAGCAACTAAGGGGAAGACCGCACTGGGGTGGTGCGGCTAGAGCAAGCTCGTTTCAGCCCTGCTGGAATGGTTTGCTCTACATTGGTGAAGTCCACACTGAGGTGGGTGTGGCTAGAGCAAGCGCAATGTTGCTCTACGTCGGGGGATTTTTAGCCGAGTTATACGGCAGTACCCGTACGCCTCCGGGTCTTGTCCCGTAAGCATCGCCCGGGAGATGCTGATGGGATGGATTTTTATCCCTGGCTCTGATGGTGAAGCCTAAAAAAAAAAAAAAACAAAGCGAGAGTGGAGTCATTCCATGGTGGGCTGGATGATGGAGAAGTGGAGGGAATTGGATAGGAAGGATGGTGAAAGGCGGCTGGCTGGATGGATAAGTGAAGGGAGAAAGATGGTGAAAGGTGGCTGGCTAGATGGAGAATGGCTATTTGGATGATGGGGTGGCCATGGAGGGCTGGATGATGGAGAATGGCTGGTTAGATGGTGGATGGTGCAATGGAAAAATGGAGCAGAGACGCAGTGGAACTGTGAACTCTTGTAGGGGGAAAGACTTCAGGACAAAAGTTCTAGGGGGGAAGACTTTTAGGGGAGTAGTTGGAGTGAAGCAATTGAGCTGTAAACTTCTTCTAGGGACTATGAATGCAATTCAATACCATACTCATGTGCACTTCTTCTAGGGGGGAGGGGAGGACTTTTGATGAGAGGCTCTAGTTCTAGGGGGGAGGGAGGACTTCTGTTCTAAAGGACTACGGTAGTTCTAGGGGTAAGGGCTTACCGGTATGTTCTGAGGGACTAATTCTAGGGGGGAAGACTTCTGATGTGAGGGAGGCACTAGTTCTAGGGGGGAGGGAGGACTTCTGTTTTGAGGGACTGGTAGTTGTAGGGGGGAGGACTTCTGAGGAGTACCTAGCGAGGACTTCTGAGGAGTACACGTGCAGTGAATTTCTTCTAGGGGGACCAGACTACACACACATGCAGTGAAATTCTTCTTGGGGGACTGGACGTGGGGTGCGGCAATACCTTCTCATTCCAATAATAATTTCTCTCAGCCAAACAAGGAGACATGCTTGTCACATGAAGGACTCCTTACTTATTTTTGGTTTTAAGCAACCCTTACTAAGGAGTAGCAAGAATTTGCAATTATACCCAGTAGAGCAAAGCAGCAGCTTGTGGCATACTGTCAGCAGCTGCTACTTCCCCCGCTGTCCTAGCAGTCCCCTCTGCCTCTCAATCCCCGTGAAATGCCAGCCTCTCTCTCTCTCTCCTCTTCCTTCAGCACAGCCTGTGAAATGCCAGCAGCTGATTCACGCTACTGATGCACCGGTTCCTTTCGTCTTAGATGCCTCTTTTGCTGCCTCCACCTCTGATGCCTTGCTGGCGCTTTTTCCTCTCCCTCATTGCTCAGCCTGCCATGTGAGTGAGGGAAAGAGGCGGGGGAGTGAGGGAATGAGTCGGGGAGAGCATGCTGTGACTCATGCCAACGTGCATGCTGTGACTCATGTCAACATGCATGCTGCAACTCATGCCAACGTGCGTGCTGTGACTCATGCCAACGTGCGTGCTGCAACTCATGCCAACGTGCGTGCTGCAACTCATGCCAACGTGCGTGCTGCAACTCATGCCAACGTGCGTGCTGGAACTCATGCCAACGTGCGTGCTGCAACTCATGCCAACGTGCGTGCTGCAACTCATGCCAACGTGCGTGCTGGAACTCATGCCAACGTGCGTGCTGCAACTCATGCCAACATGCGTGCTGCAACTCATGCCAACGTGCGTGCTGCAACTCATGCCAACGTGCGTGCTGCAACTCATGCCAACATGTGTGCTGCAACTCATGCCAACGTGCGTGCTGCAACTCATGCCAACGTGCGTGCTGTAACTCATGCCAACGTGCGTGCTGTAACTCATGTCAACATGCATGCTGTAACTCATGCCAACGTGCGTGCTGTAACTCATGCCAACGTATGTCTTTCTTTGAAACATGGCTGAATGAGGGAACATGGGTGAATGAGGGAACATGGCTGAATGAGTGAACATGGCTGAATGAGGGAACATGGGTGAATGAGGGAACATGGGTGAATGAGGGAACATGGGTGAATGAGGGAACATGGGTGAATGAGGGAACATGGGTGAATGAGGGAACATGGGTGAATGAGGGAACATGGGTGAATGAGGGAACATGGGTGAATGAGGGAACATGGGTGAATGAGGAACATGGGTGAATGAGGGAACATGGGTGAATGAGGGAACATGGGTGAATGAGGGAACATGGGTGAATGAGGGAACATGGGTGAATGAGGGAACATGGGTGAATGAGGGAACATGGGTGAATGAGGGAACATGGGTGAATGAGGGAACATGGGTGAATGAGGGAACATGGGTGAATGAGGGAACATGGGTGAATGAGGGAACATGGGTGAATGAGGGAACATGGGTGAATGAGGGAACATGGGTGAATGAGGGAACATGGCTGAATGAGGGAACATGGGTGAATGAGGGAACATGGCTGAATGAGGGAACATGGGTGAATGAGTGAACATGGGTGAATGAGGGAACATGGGTGAATGAGTGAACATGGGTGAATGAGGGAACATGGGTGAATGAGTGAACATGGGTGAATGAGGGAACATGGGTGAATGAGGGAACATGGGTGAATGAGGGAACATGGCTGAATGAGGGAACATGGGTGAATGAGGGAACATGGGTGAATGAGGGAACATGGGTGAATGAGGGAACATGGGTGAATGAGGGAACATGGGTGAATGAGGGAACATGGGTGAATGAGGGAACATGGGTGAATGAGGGAACATGGGTGAATGAGGGAACATGGGTGAATGAGAGAACATGGGTGAATGAGGGAACATGGGTGAATGAGGGAACATGGGTGAATGAGGGAACATGGGTGAATGAGGGAACATGGGTGAATGAGGGAACATGGGTGAATGAGGGAACATGGGTGAACGAGGGAACATGGGTGAATGAGGGAACATGGGTGAATGAGGGAACATGGGTGAATGAGGGAACATGGGTGAATGAGGGAACATGGGTGAATGAGGGAACATGGGTGAATGAGGGAACATGGGTGAATGAGGGAACATGGGTGAATGAGGGAACATGGGTGAATGAGGGAACATGGGTGAATGAGGGAACATGGGTGAATGAGGGAACATGGGTGAATGAGGGAACATGGGTGAATGAGGGAACATGGGTGAATGAGACAATAAGGGAATGATAGATGGGGCATCAAGGATATTGACGGAAACAAGAGTATGCAGAAACACTAAAGGCACTTAATTAACGGAGAAAAAAAACACCCCACATGCGCAGAAAGCCACAGAGAACACTCAACAAACCAAAGAGGCGCGATTTACGTGAGGAGCACAGCACTCAATTGCTTCACGTGCTCGAGCCTAAGCAAGCAGCCATCACGTTCAGCCATCACGCCTTTTTAGGATTCTTTTGAGTCCACTCAAATGTTCTAAAAAACACAGCACTCACTTGCTTCACGTGCTCGAGCCAAAGCAAGCAGCCATCGGTCCTATTTTGAGTCGACTCAATAATCGACTCAACAAACGAAACAGGCGTGGTTCACTTGAGGAACACAGCACTCACTTGCTGCAGGTGCGCGCGCATACAACACGTGCAAGCCACTCCTTGTTCCAGTGGTGGCAGATAATCGCCTCCACAGCATCATGCTGCCACATGTGCACCCGCCATCTATTGACTAGCAACCTTAGCACACCAACTTACGAGTCGGCCCAATATTCAACCGTCACTCCTTGTTCCAGTGGTGACTAATAACCGCCTGTGCAGCTCCCTTGCGAGTGTCACTCCCCTGCAGCACGTGCAAGTCACTCATTGTTCTAGTGGTGACTGATAACCCCTTCCGGAGCATCATGCGGCCACATGTGCAGCCCCCATCGCGTGACCAGCAGTTCCAGCGAACTGTGAATGCCAATCCCCTGCAGCAATTGCAAGCAAATCATTCCTTGTTCCAGTGGTGACTGATAACCTCCTCCACAACACCATGCTGCCACATGTGCAGCCCCCATCTCTCGACCAGCAACCGCAGTGACATGTGAGTGCCACTCCTTGTTCCAGTGGTGACTGATAACGGCTGTGCAACCCCCATTGCTATGTGCAAGTCACTCCTTGTTCCAGTGGTGGCTAATAACCTCCTCCACAACGTCATGCGGCCACATGTGCAGCCCCCATCGCTTCGCCAGTAGCCCCAGCGCGGATTGGTCGTGCCGGTGGTCCACGAAGCACGCGTGGTTCGGCCGACCCAGCTGGTTCGGCAGGTCCGTTGACACGCGCGGGTCCTCCATGTACCCGAGCCACTGGGCGGCGAACTGGATTGACTGCCGCCCGCGCCGCCACACGGAGAAACCTGCATCGACCTGACAGGTTTGGTGCGACAGGAAGAGGGGAGAGGGGGAGGGGGAAGCGGGTGGGGAAGGTGTAGGAGCCGGTGAGTGGGAATGTGTAGGGGCGGGGGAGGGGGAAGGTGTAGGAGCGGGGGAGGGGGAAGGTGTCGGAGTGGGGGAGGGGAAAGATGTGTGGGAGCGGGAAAGGGGAAAGTTGTGTAGGAGCGGGGGAGGGGGAAGATGTGTGGGGAGGGGAAGGATGACAGTCAGGTGAGCAGGGAAGTTGAGGTAGAAAAGGGAGGGGAGGGAGGAAGGGTTAGCGGGGATAGAAACTGGAAGGCATCATATAATGCAATGCAGCAATCAGTCCAATTCCTTCTCTCCCCTCCTTCCCCCAACCCACACACTCCCCCCCTTTTCCCCCTTCTCCCCTCTCCCAACCCGTACCCGTTATAAGCTCACCTGGCCGGAATTCATGCAGATGCTCTCATTAGTGCAGTTGAGCAGAAGAAAAGCGTCCATCTTCGTCCAGCATGCTTCCGCGAAATTTGGCGGGAACTGAAATAAATGAACCTCCTGCTTACTAAAAGACCATTTGATAATTTTGTTAACGGCGCCGTCTGAGTCATCCCCTTCGACCAACGCCATCCTCGATACAAGCCCGTCCACTATCCCGCCAGAAGCATAGCTTTCCCCGTCACCAGCTGCAAGGCCGTATAACGGGGATAGATCCCCGTTCGTGGTGCTATCAGCGTCCGCGTATAATAGCAAATCCCCATCCTCCATTTCCTCCAAAAGCGTCTTCAGTATAAGGTACGGTTTCCACACCCAGAATCCCACGCCACGAGGAAGAGATAAGATCTTCTTGTTTCGAGAGATGAAATCAGGATCCAAGGAGGTGTGATTGTATTGAATGCAGCGATCCGCGCCGTGCTGTAACGCGGCCTGACACGAAGTCCGTTGACCCACGTGGCAGCAGTTATGCGCGTAGTTGATAAACAAGCGCGTCGGTATTCTCGAGGAGTTGGAAATTCCAGCGGAAGAATCGGATGACGGACTCCGCGAGCTCGCGAAAAAGTTGCACGACGCGCGAAGCAAGTGTAACCCGCCAATGACGGCGAGAATCGCAAGCAGTTTAACTACCGTCGACCTGGATCGAATCGCCATGGCAGCTTGCGATGCAGCCTGTCTTCGAGAACCCTTACGCTTGTCCGCCATAAACAAAGAAGTGTAACGTGACAGAGCGACTCGGAGGGAGTCGTCGAGGCCTAGCTCCCTTTTACCAAGAGACTAATATATGATAGAGTCAAAAAAGCGGAAATCCATGATTGATTATAGTTTGGCGAGCCGGATTCCTGCTGGAATATCAATGATCGCCAGAGCTGATGCAAAATCAAGTTTAGGGAGTGTGGAGTGTGTATATCCTGGAACTTGTCTGTGCTCTGGATTGCTCACACCATCCTTCTGCTCTGCACATTCTCGCTCACACCAGATCTCAAATTGCTCATACACATACCAGTCAGGTAACCAATTGTGCGTTCGCGAGGCCTAGGCGACCAGACTCACAATCGCGAAAATGAATTAGCGAACGTTCAGCATTTCCATTTGCTGGATGAATCGTTTCAGCGACGGAGGAACTTCGTTTGCAATAGCTTCTTGATTTCCACAGATTCCAGATTCTAACCTAAAGAATACCGAGGAATACCATATTCGCGCTGCGCTACAACTTGAACGCGTTCACTTGACGCGGAAAAGTTGTTTTGAAAGATTGCAGATCGTTTTCGAAGCAAAGAAGTTGTCGACATCGTTCTCTTAGGCTGCAAGCTTAGACTCGTCCGTGATCGCCGGGTCGTCAAGATCGCCGAGATCTTCGCGATTCTGTCGTCATGGCAGCAGCGAGTCCTGCAGAGTAAGCGTCGCTTCCTTCCGTCGGCAAAATTATATCCGCGGGCCGTTGACGACTGTCGCCATTGACGCCGTTTCCGCCGAGTAGTAGCCTTTTCTTTCTAAGCGTGCAGCGTTGGTTCTCTCATCTCTCACGCGTGCTACAATTGGTAAAATCTTGTTCATGAGGAGCACAGAATGGTACAGTCCTTCAATCCCTTTTTAGAGGCGCCTTGATTTATATAATCAATCTCATCCCCCCCTCGCATACATCTCAGGTGGTACAACTCCCTGCCGCCAGTCAGCAAGGCATGGGGAACGGCGCTATTCGCCACGGCATGTGCCATGCAGCTCAAAGTGCTGCCAGTGCAGCTCATCTTCCTCGACTACACCTCCGTATTCCAGAAATTCCAGGTTCTATCCCCCGTTCTTACCGTTGCTCCGCACTCTATACCTTTACTAGCCCCAACGCCTTTCATGGACGCCTGGTTTTGTGGATCCGCATGCTCTTTCGCATTCTGTTGCTATTTTCCCATGCGAAGATTGGCATGTATGTTCATGATCGACCATACATAACAGGAAGTTTACTGGGTTACCTCATTTTCTGACACACCCCTTCGTGAACTGTGTGCATGCATCCTTCATATATGCATGCTTGTCATGTGCCATTCAGATATGGCGTCTCGTTACAAACATCTTCTTTGCAGGAGGATTCAGCATGAGATTCGCCTTCACTCTCCTTATGATGTAAGAAGACTTCCCCCCTTTTCTCAAGCTTATGTTCCTCCTCCCCCCCCTTTTTTCCTTCCTCATTCTTTCTCCAGCTTCCCTTCAACCTCCTACTATCCTCCTGCTGTCCATTATCCTCTTCTCCGTGCCCCTTCATACTCCCTCTCCACACTCGACCACTGCACCGTATTACCTCCTCGTTCTCTTGCTCATTTCATATCACATGATCAGAAAGCGCAAACCAAAGTCTCATACATGACATCTTTTTCTGGCTCTTAAACCGCCATCCTCATTATTGCAGAGCCCGCTACTGTGTACAGATGGAGACGTCTGCTTTCGCAGGAAGAACAGCGGACTTTCTGTACATGCTCATGATCAACACGCTCAGCCTGCTGCTCATCGCCCTCATTATCCCCTTTAAGATCTTCTTCCTTAGCGAGCCGCTGCTGCTCTCGGTCATCTACCTGTGGAGCCGGGAGAATCCCAACGGCGTGGTCAACTTCATGGGCCTTATATCCATGCCTGTGAGTCCCCTCCTTAGCTCTATGCCCCTTGTATTCCACTTCCTGTTAATCCCCTTTAAGATCTTCTTCCTTATTGAGTTGCTGCTCCTCTCGGTCATCTAACTGTGGAGTGGAGAGAATCCCAACAGCGTTGTCAACTCTATGAGTCTTCTATCCATGCCTCACTCCCACCTGCAGGCGTTCTACCTGCCATGGGCATACCTCTTCATGGATCTGCTCTTTGGAATGAGTTTTGTTGACTCTCTTGCTCTGCAATATCTCTTTCACCATCATCCCCTCTGCCCCCTCCTCTCCCCCCTCTCCCGTCACAGGCCTTCTACCTGCCATGGGCGTACCTATTCATGGATCTGCTCTTTGGAATGAGCGTGGTTGACTCGCTGGCCGGCATAGTGGCGGGTCACATCTATTACTTCCTCACAGCCGTGTATCCGCGCACAGGGGGGGCTCAGCTTATCCGCACACCACTCTGGGTGTAAGTCCCTCCTCATGTTCTTTTCTTTCCCTATGGAGATGTCTTTTAGAGGGGCAGCCCAAGAGGTCACATCTGCTACTTCATCATCCCCGTGTATGCACGCACAGGAGGCTTGTAGTGCAGTGGGCAGCTGCAACGCACAACATGGTGCAACCCCAGGCAAACGCAGTTTTCCACCCATCCCATTCTGTTCCACCCTTTGCATTCTCTTCTCCCTCCACCCTCCAGCCGCCCGCTTGTAGCGCAGTTGCTGGCTGTAGCACATGATGCAACCCCAGCTGGCATAGTTGCTCCTGTGTGCATTAACACTTTCCACTCTCCCCTTTCCTCCTCACCCTCTACACTCCCATCCCCTTCACCCTCCAGCCACCGGCTTGTAGCGCAGTGGGCGGCTGTAGCGCCCAACATGGTGCAGCTGCAGGCACCCCCACGGCCCGTTCCGGCCCGCGGCCCTGTAGCAGGGGGAGGAGGAGGAGGAGCAGCAGGAGGGGCAGCAGCAGGGGCAGCAGCAGGGGTGGGTGGTGGTTCTGGTGGTGCTGTGTTCAGGGGGCGAGCGTACCGATTGGATCGGGATTAGAAAGGCATATACAATGAAACGTAAAACAAGATGCTTGCATAATAGGGATTTTGATGCACATCACCGTATGAGAACTGGAGAGAAGATGCTTACAACATAGGGGCTAGGAAGGCTAGGCAGGGGGTCTGTACCATGCACCACCAGAAACACATTAAATGATGTTACAGCCAAGTGAGAAGGCAAGGCACTGACGGTGCACTGATGGCCTCTGTTTTGAGGGCACATTGGTGAGAAAGTACTAAATTGATGGTTAAAGGCATTCAACAAATTGTATACATGGATAACAGGTGCAGCCAGAATTGATTACGAGTTTGACAAATTTGGCTCATGATTCCTGCTTTCATCACTATCTAGCATCAAATCCATATAATCACTCTCTTTCAGCTCATCTGAAGCTGAACCTACTTCCTCGGCTTCCCAGGATGTAGTCGACACCCTCCTTTTAGTCTGATCCGCTATCATCCTCAAAACACTCAACACCTCACTCATATTATACCTCAGCTCCGAATCCTTGGTCCCATTTCCAAACACCAGGTAGTAGTTCTGTTGCGTGCCATGGTAAGGTGGTGGTAGCAGGGGTTGGGGTAATCCCGAGGTCGGATCTCAAAGACGGAGGAATTGGAGGGCATGAAGATCATGTTGGAGAGACCCGCTCCGTGCAAGCCCACATAGACCGCTGCTCGGTTGAAGAGGAGTTTGGCTGGGGGACGGGCAGGACAGACAATCACGAAAAAACTTTGTGGGGAAGCATGGGAAGCCGTGCAAGCCCACATAGACTGCTGCTGGATTGAAAAGAAGTTTGGCTGGGGGGGAAGGGAGAGCAACAAGGATGAGAGGGAAGGGGAGGAGAGGAATTGGATGGCATGAAGATCATGTTGGAGAGGCCTGCTCCGTGCAGACTCACATAGACCGCTGCTCTGTTGCCAGAGAAGCTTGGCTGGGGGCGGAGGAGAGCGTGAGAGCTGATAACGTAAGGAGATGGGGAAGGGGAAGGGGATGGGCGGGCCTGGATATTGTGTTGGAGAGGAGAGGCCTGCTGCTTGCCTTCACACACAAACACCCGCTGCGGTGGAAACACTGTGCAAAGCAGGCAAGTAGGGATTGAACCCCATCAGATATCAGCATAATTCACTCAAATTGCAGAACAGCAGACCCCACCCATCTTGCAGCACAGCACAGCATACGCACCTTGCAGTATGGGCAGATCCCCTTCAAACACAAACACCCGCTGCGGCGGGAACACTGTGTGGAGAGATGACAGGTAGGGACTCAGACGTATAAGATATCCAAGCGTTGCCCACCCGTATTGCACCACTGCACACCCCACACACCTTGCAGCCCACCCCACCCACCTTGCAGGATGGGCAGATCCCCTTCAAACACAAACACCCGCTGCGGCGGGAAAACTCGCTTCATCCCTGCCACGAGCGATTCAAACACCGCCAGGTGGCGCATCGCGCCGCGCCGGTGCGCAATTACAGCGCGCCAGCTGTACGGCAGCCGGGCGGTCTGCGCGTCAGACCACAGAGGCACGTCCGTCTCGCTGACGTCACCAGCCTTCACTGGGAGTGCGTTGCTGCTCATAATTATCATGACATTCGGTAGTAGGAAATCTGACATCGTACCTACCTGGTATAACACATCCACATGCATAAGCGGGTTTACATCAGCATGTCGGTTGGGAATGGGGTGGAGATGAGCAGGGGAGAATGATGAGGCGATAAGAGGCTTGACACGGTACCTCCAATGAGGTACGGTACCTACCTGGTATAACACATCCACATGCACGAGTAGGTTGACGTCAGCATGTCGGTTGGGGATGACAGCGAGGTTGAGAGCGGTGGCTGGGATGCCCAGGAAGGGTACCAGGAGACTGCTGAACGCCTTCACCTGGCAGGGAGCAGGGGCACATGCACACAACGCGCCAGGGAGAGAGAGAGTGGGAGCACACACAAAGAATCAAGGGACGATTTGGAAGAGACTCCACGGCAAAGAATCAAAGGACGCCAAGGAAAGGCACCACCGCACGCTCATACGCTGAACCGCCCGCTCATACGCTGCTCCGCACACTCATACGCTGCACCGCACGCTCATACGCTGCACCGCCCGCTCATACGCTGCACCGCACGCTCATACGCTGCTCCGCACACTCATACGCTGCACCGCACGCTCATACGCTGCACCGCACGCTCATACGCTGCACCGCACGCTCATACGCTGCACCGCACGCTCATACGCTGCACCGCACGCTCATACGCTGCACCGCCCGCTCATACGCTGCACCGCCCGCTCATACGCTGCACCGCACGCTCATACGCTGCACCGCCCGCTCATACGCTGCACCGCACGCTCATACGCTGCACCGCCCGCTCATACGCTGCACCGCCCGCTCATACGCTGCACCGCCCGCTCATACGCTGCACCGCCCGCTCATACGCTGCACCGCCCGCTCATACGCTGCTCCGCACACTCATACGCTGCACCGCCCGCTCATACGCTGCACCGCCCGCTCATACGCTGCACCGCACGCTCATACGCTGCACCGCCCGCTCCTACGCTGCTCCGCACGCTCCTACGCTGCACCGCACGCTCATACGCTGCACCGCACGCTCATACGCTGCACCGCACGCTAATACGCTGCACCGCACGCTCCTACGCTGCACCGCACGCTCATACGCTGCACCGAGCGCTCATACGCTGCACCGCACGCTCATACGCTTCACCGCCCGCTCATACGCTGCACCGCCCGCTCATACGCTGCACCGCACGCTCATACGCTGCACCGCACGCTCATACGCTGCACCGCGCGCTCATACGCTGCACCGCCCGCTCATACGCTGCACCGCCCGCTCATACGCTGCACCGCCCGCTCTTACGCTGCACCGCCCGCTCATACGCTGCACCGCCCGCTCATACGCTGCACCGCCCGCTCATACGCTGCACCGCCCGCTCATACGCTGCACCGCCCGCTCATACGCTGCACCGCCCGCTCATACGCTGCACCGCCCGCTCATACGCTGCACCGCCCGCTCATACGCTGCACCGCACGCTCATACGCTGCACGGCCCGCTCATACGCTGCACCGCACGCTCATACGCTGCACCGCACGCTCATACGCTGCACCGCACGCTCATACGCTGCACCGCCCGCTCATACGCTGCACCGCCCGCTCATTCGCTGCACCGCACGCTCATACGCTGCACCGCCCGCTCATACGCTGCACCGCCCGCTCATACGCTGCACCGCACGCTCATACGCTGCACCGCACGCTCATACGCTGCACCGCACGCTCCAACGCTGCACCGCACGCTCCTACGCTGCACCGCACGCTCATACGCTGCACCGCCCGCTCATACGCTGCACCGCACGCTCCTACGCTGCACCGCACGCTCATACGCTGCACCGCACGCTCATACGCTGCACCGCACGCTCCTACGCTGGACCGCGCGCTCATACGCTGCACCGCGCGCTCATACGCTGCACCGCACGTTCATACGCTGCACCGCCCGCTCATACGCTGCACCGCCCGCTCATACGCTGCACCGCCGGCTCATACGCTGCACCGCCCGCTCATACGCTGCACCGCACGCTCATACGCTGCACCGCCCGCTCATACGCTGCACCGCCCGCTCATACGCTGCACCGCCCGCTCATACGCTGCACCGCCCGCTCATACGCTGCACCGCCCGCTCATACGCTGCACCGCCCGGCACCGCCCGCTCATACGCTGCACCGCCCGCTCATACGCTGCACCGCCCGCTCATACGCTGCACCGCCCGCTCATACGCTGCTCCGCACACTCATACGCTGCACCGCCCGCTCATACGCTGCACCGCCCGCTCATACGCTGCACCGCACGCTCATACGTTGCACCGCCCGCTCCTACGCTGCTCCGCACGCTCCTACGCTGCACCGCCCGCTCCTACGCTGCTCCGCACGCTCATACGCTGCACCGCACGCTCATACGCTGCACCGCCCGCTCATACGCTGCACCGCCCGCTCATACGCTGCACCGCCCGCTCATACGCTGCACCGCCCGCTCATACGCTGCACCGCACGCTCATACGCTGCACCGCCCGCTCATACGCTGCACCGCACGCTCATACGCTGCACCGCACGCTCAAACGCTGCACCGCCCGCTCATACGCTGCACCGCCCGCTCATTCGCTGCACCGCCCGCTCATACGCTGCACCGCCCGCTCATACGCTGCACCGCCCGCTCATACGCTGCACCGCCCGCTCATACGCTGCACCGTCCGCTCATACGCTGCACCGCCCGCTCATACGCTGCACCGCCCGCTCATACGCTGCACCGCCCGCTCATACGCTGCACCGCCCGCTCATACGCTGCACCGCCCGCTCATACGCTGCACCGCGCGCTCATACGCTGCACCGCGCGCTCATACGCTGCACCGCGCGCTCATACGCTGCACCGCCCGCTCATACGCTGCACCGCCCGCTCATACGCTGCACCGCCCGCTCATACGCTGCTCCGCACGCTCATACGCTGCACCGCCCGCTCATACGCTGCTCCGCACGCTCATACGCTGCACCGCACGCTCATACGCTGCACCGCACGCTCATACGCTGCACCGCACGCTCCTACGCTGCACCGCACGCTCCTACGCTGCACCGCCCGCTCCTACGCTGCTCCGCACGCTCATACGCTGCACCGCCCGCTCATACGCTGCACCGCACGCTAATACGCTGCACCGCCCGCTCATACGCTGCACCGCCCGCTCATACGCTGCACCGCACGCTCATACGCTGCACCGCCCGCTCCTACGCTGCACCGCCCGCTCCTACGCTGCACCGCCCGCTCATACGCTGCACCGCCGGCTCATACGCTGCACCGCCCGCTCATACGCTGCACCGCACGCTCATACGCTGCACCGCCCGCTCATACGCTGCACCGCCCGCTCATACGCTGCACCGCCCGCTCATACGCTGCACCGCCCGCTCATACGCTGCACCGCCCGCTCATACGCTGCACCGCCCGCTCATACGCTGCACCGCCCGCTCATACGCTGCACCGCCCGCTCATACGCTGCACCGCCCGCTCATACGCTGCTCCGCACACTCATACGCTGCACCGCCCGCTCATACGCTGCACCGCCCGCTCATACGCTGCACCGCACGCTCATACGTTGCACCGCCCGCTCCTACGCTGCTCCGCACGCTCCTACGCTGCACCGCCCGCTCCTACGCTGCTCCGCACGCTCATACGCTGCACCGCACGCTCATACGCTGCACCGCCCGCTCATACGCTGCACCGCCCGCTCATACGCTGCACCGCCCGCTCATACGCTGCACCGCCCGCTCATACGCTGCACCGCACGCTCATACGCTGCACCGCCCGCTCATACGCTGCACCGCACGCTCATACGCTGCACCGCACGCTCATACGCTGCACCGCCCGCTCATACGCTGCACCGCCCGCTCATTCGCTGCACCGCACGCTCATACGCTGCACCGCCCGCTCATACGCTGCACCGCCCGCTCATACGCTGCACCGCCCGCTCATACGCTGCACCGCCCGCTCATACGCTGCACCGCCCGCTCATACGCTGCACCGCCCGCTCATACGCTGCACCGCCCGCTCATACGCTGCACCGCCCGCTCATACGCTGCACCGCCCGCTCATACGCTGCACCGCCCGCTCATACGCTGCACCGCCCGCTCATACGCTGCACCGCCCGCTCATACGCTGCACCGCACGCTCATACGCTGCACCGCCCGCTCATACGCTGCACCGCACGCTCATACGCTGCACCGCACGCTCATACGCTGCACCGCCCGCTCATACGCTGCACCGCCCGCTCATTCGCTGCACCGCACGCTCATACGCTGCACCGCCCGCTCATACGCTGCACCGCCCGCTCATACGCTGCACCGCACGCTCATACGCTGCACCGCGCGCTCATACGCTGCACCGCGCGCTCATACGCTGCACCGCGCGCTCATACGCTGCACCGCCCGCTCATACGCTGCACCGCCCGCTCATACGCTGCACCGCCCGCTCATACGCTGCTCCGCACACTCATACGCTGCACCGCACGCTCATACGCTGCACCGCACGCTCCTACGCTGCACCGCACGCTCCTACGCTGCACCGCACGCTCATACGCTTCACCGCCCGCTCATACGCTGCACCGCACGCTCATACGCTGCACCGCACGCTCCTACGCTGCACCGCACGCTCATACGCTGCACCGCCCGCTCCTACGCTGCTCCGCACCCTCATACGCTGCACCGCCCGCTCATACGCTGCACCGCCCGCTCCTACGCTGCACCGCACGCTCCTACGCTGCACCGCACGCTCCTACGCTGCACCGCACGCTCATACGCTGCACCGCGCGCTCATACGCTGCACCGCCCTCTCATACGCTGCACCGCCCGCTCATACGCTGCACCGCCCGCTCATACGCTGCACCGCCCGCTCATACGCTGCACCGCCCGCTCATACGCTGCACCGCCCACTCATACGCTGCACCGCACGCTCATACGCTGCACCGCACGCTCCTACGCTGCACCGCACGCTCCTACGCTGCACCGCACGCTCATACGCTGCACCGCCCGCTCATACGCTGCACCGCACGCTCATACGCTGCACCGCACGCTCATACGCTGCACCGCACGCTCATACGCTGCACCGCGCGCTCCTACGCTGCACCGCGCGCTCATACGCTGCACCGCACGTTCATACGCTGCACCGCCCGCTCATACGCTGCACCGCCCGCTCATACGCTGCACCGCCGGCTCATACGCTGCACCGCCCGCTCATACGCTGCACCGCACGCTCATACGCTGCACCGCACGCTCATACGCTGCACCGCCCGCTCATACGCTGCACCGCCCGCTCATACGCTGCACCGCCCGCTCATACGCTG